TGAGTTATTTACATGTATGTTGTTTAACTTCCAAATACTTGAGGATATTCTGGCTATTTATTTGTTCTCACAAGCCCATCAAACGCAGTCTTTATATCTGTTACTCTTTTTTTGAATCTATGAACTTGTACTGCCTCTCACATTCTTGTTCTTTCCTCTTTCAATTTCTGTAAAATATATAATGTCTACATTGTCAGGGCTTATGGCATTTAGTTTTTGTTTTACCTCTGTTTTTTTATTTTTTACTTTTTAGTTATAATTCTACCATTAGTTCTTCTTACATCTTTGGCTGTTTGAAGAGTCATCTCATGATTAAAGTTTTTTCTAAAATATACTCTCCAAGAAGGCTTATTATAAAAACAGTATTCCCCAAGTTCATTGCATATAATAGCTCTGTGACTGTTGCCTTTATGTTTGACAGTCTGTCCTCAAAATTCATGGGTCACATTCTTTTTTCTTTAGGGATTTTGAAATTCTTCCAGTGTTTCCAAGAATTGAATATTGCTGTGATGAAGTCCAAGAATAGCTGGAATATTTTTCTCATATAAATGATTTGATAATTTACTTTGTTTTCTAAAGTATTATTTCATTATTTTTGAAATACATTAAGTTCAGAGTATGTTTTGCCGTTGAACACACTGGGTGAGTTTCTGCTGGGATGTGATGTCCATTTATTATGTCAATTCAACATATCTTTTATTTTTGGAAATAATTTGCTTTACTTCAATTTTTTCATTGCCTTCATCTTGATCTCTTTTAGACAAGATCAGGCACATTCAGGGTGGCATGGCTGTAGACTTGATCTCTTTTAGGTAACCATAATTTTCTTCTTAATATTTTAAATATGTTTGGGTGCTAATTTCCATTTCTTGTTGTTTTCCCCAGTTTTATCTTCAATATCCTATACAATATCTATCCTATTTTGTGCTTCTTTCATTTTAACTTTTATTTCTGTGATGATTTTTCTTTCAATTCTTTTCTGAAATTTGCTAGTTCATGCTTTATTTTCTTCTTTTTACTAACTCTTCACTATGTTTTCACCGCAGTTGCTTCAGAAGGGCATTGATTCAAGAATTTTAAATTGACTATAGTGTTTGGTCACTCTTTTCATCCGCTACTTGTCAGTGAATGTTCATCTTCTACCATTTATTTTCTTTTCCCTTTACTCTCTCCCTACTCCCATCATATCTATTTGGAATAGTTCTTGTGATACTTCCTTTTGATTACTTAGTTGATTGAGGTGAATTTTTCTTGGACCAGCCATTTTCAGAAGTTTCATGTTTGGGAGGAACTAGGGCTATGTTCTGGGCTAGCTGGAATTTCCCCCATGACCCAGGATTCTTGTGTCAGGTTAATTAGCCTTTACTTCATCCCAGCCTTTAGAGATGGCTCCCATAAAGTTTTCACTGAGTTCTGTCTCTGTTATTCTCTCATTGCTAAAGAGACAAGCTGTTTCCTGTAAATATGCCGTTTATGTGATTTCTCATGCAGTCCAACATTCTCTGCTTCCTAGTTCTGGGGAAGCTCTTGATGCTAGTTTGTGCACTCATCCTACTGCTGCAAATGAATGATTTTTATTTTGCCCTTGTCTCTCACTGCCAAGAAATATACTTTGCTGGCTCGTCCACGATCCAAGGTCACAGTCTGTTTTTCCCCCTTTACTTTCTGCCACACATATCTCCACTTGATCTCTGCTTTTGGCAGCCTTTCCATTTATTTGATGGCATGGGATTTTTTCTCGCCTAGCTTTGCCACAGATAAGTTTGCATTTCTTATTTCTCATTCTGTTTGTGGCTTTCAGAACACTCCCGAGAAAATAAGGAAGATATTCTGTCTTTAAACCACATCTTTAAACTAGAAGTTCAATTTATGAATTGTAAAAACAGGTGGGCTTTTTATGACATTGTATTGCAATGCGTTGATGCTAGTTTTTTTTTTTATTATACTTTAAGTTCTAGGGTACATGTGCACAACGTGCAGGTTTGTTACATAGGTATACATGTGCCATGTTGGTGTGCTGCACCCATTAACTTGTCATTTACATTAGGTATATCTCCTAATGCTATCCCTCCCCACTCCCCCCTCCCCACAATAGGACCCGGTGTGTGATGTTCCCCTTCCTGTGTCCAAGTGATCTCATTGTTCAATTTCCACCTATGAGTGAGAACATGCGGTATTTGGTTTTCTGTTCTTGCGACAGTTTGCTGAGAATGATGGTTTCCAGCTGCATCCATATCCCTACAAAGGACATGAACTCATCCTTTTTTATGGCTGTATATAGTATTTCATGGTGTATATGTGCCACATTTTCTTAATCCAGTCTGTCACTGATGGACATTTGGGTTGATTCCAAGTTTTTGCTATTGTGAATAGTGCCACAATAAACATATGTGTGCATGTGTCTTTATAGCAGCATGACTTATAATCCTTTGGGTATATCCCCAGTAATGGGATGGCTGGGTCAAATGGTATTTCTAGTTCTAGATCCTTGAGGAATCGCCACACTGTTTTCCACAATGGTTGAACTAGTTTACACTCCCACCAACAGTGTAAAAGTGTTCCTATTTCTCCACATCCTCTCCAGCACCTGTTGTTTCCTGATTTTTTTAATGATTGCCATTCTAACTGGTGTGAGATGGTATCTCATTGTGGTTTTGATTTGCATTTCTCTGATGGCGAGTTTTGATAACAAAGACATTTTTAAGAGCACCATAATGACCAATATTTTGATTTTACTTAGAAAAAAGAGGGCATCAGAACAATCTTTTTTGAATGAGTTTTCCAAAAAGCTCCAGATAATATCAAAGTTGTATATGGCATATCCCCAAAGAAGTTTTTCTGATGTCCTTAATCATGATTCAAATATTCATTCATCTTGTGATTTTTAAAATGTATTATTTAAAAGGAAGATAATATAAATAATATATGGAAGAACTTCCATAATATTAAAGTGAATTGTAGCCAATTTAATGAGCATGGGTCCTTATTTGCCTTGTTTTATCAACCTATGTAGATTTCAAAAGTTTTGTCAATTGAAAAATCCCAAGTTCTATAAATTTGGAAAGGAGACTTTATTTATTATAAAAAGGGTTACAGCCTCTAGGGTGGCCGTCATCCTGACAGACTTGGAAGTGTAGCCTCTGGCAGAGACCTGAAGGAGGCACTTTGAAGGAAGGGAGTGTGGGGCTTAGCATTTACGCTAAACAGGTTGGCCCGGTACACATATTCAACAGGTTATAGGAGCAGCTACGGCTATTCATGAAGCGGGGCCTGACACATGAACTAACATGCATGTTTCATGCATCCCATGTTCACTTTGGTGTGGAGGCATAACATTTACATTACAGTTAGGCCTTGTATGTCAAAAGGTGAAGCAGGGAGATGAAGACACTCAAGTGTGCAGTCTCTTTAAACTGGCTGGGACCAGTCCATGGAGAGTTACTGAAATCAGTCTTGTCCAATCGAAGCTGTAGTTATGGCTTGTGGAACAGGGGACCAGTGAATCAGCAGCTGGTGGTAGAGGATTATTTCAATATTGCTTTTATTTCAATATTGCAAATATTTCAATATTGCTTCTCTTAAGGCTTGTGCTTGTTTAGCTTCTATAAAAGAAGAAAAACCTGTGACAGTTAGAACCCAGCTTATTCTTTAAGTGTAGGGGTACTTGGCTTAATCCTTGACTGGTTGGCCTTAGGTCCTGTTTGTAGTTTGGTATCTTATTGCTATAGAGTGCATTCCATCAGTCTTCTTTTTTTTTTTTTTTTTTTTGAGATAGAGTCTCGCTCTGCCACCCAGGCTGGAGTGCAGTGGTGTGATCTCAGCTCACTGCAAGCTCCATCTCCCGAGTTCACACCATTCTCCTGCCTTAGCCTCCCGAGTAGCTGGGACCACAGGCGCCTGCCACCACATCCAGCTAATTTTTTGTATTTTTAGGAGAGACGGGGTTTCACCGTGTTAACCAGGATGGTCTCAATCTCCTGACCTTGTGATCCGCCCACCTCAGCCTCCCAAAGTGCTGGGATTACAGGTGTGAGCCACCACGCCTGGCCCGTTCCATCAGTCTTACGAACTCTATTTTAACACTAATGCTAATCAGTTGTGTCTAAACCACACAGAGAGGGGATATACCAATGTGTGTCCAACCTCCTGTCCTGTCGTGGCCAGGAACTCAGTTTTCAAGGTTTCTCTGGGTCCCCTTGGCCAAGAGGGGGTCCATTCAGTTGTTTGGGGGCTTAGGATTTTATTTTTAGTTCTCAGTTTTATACTGTGAATGCTAGTTGATTGAGAAGTTTGCGGCAATTTTTAAAGAAAGGATAGATATTAGATTGCATTAAAGATTACCTCCTTGATTAAACTATTGTTATTAGGGAGAAAGTAAGATTGGGCCTGAGTAATTTTGAATGTAAGAATGTAACTCTGTATAAACATTAGCAGTTTCTCTAATAGATGCTGCTTTATTAAAATATCACTTTTTGTACTGGTGAAAGAGAAAAACATTAAAGGAATTTTTATCTTAAAATGTTCTCATTCTTATAATTTTGGGGTGCAGTTTTTTGGAAGTTTCTCTGTTTCTCACTCTTCAAAAGATAAAAGTCCTTTAGCCGAAAATAAAACACATCGCGTTATATTTTATTAAAATAATTATTGTGGCTGAAAATAAAGGGTATTACATAACACTTTATTAAAATAGTTCTCTGCAATTGACATCTATATTTTTTCACTTGAGAATACTTCTGCTTACTGGGAGCATAAGTGCAAAACAAATACACAAACAAAGCAACAGCCACCATCTCCAAATCTTAACGTTGTGGTTTGAAAGTATGTACATAAATTCTTTGATACACCTCCTTTCAAAGGGTGGAGCCTAATCCCCTCCTCTTGATGGAGGCTAGACTTAGTGACTTGCTTCTAAGAGAATATGGTGAATGTGATGGTGTGTGGATTTTAAGAATACCTAAAAGAATCATTGTGTTTTTTCTCTTATCCCTGTTTTGGATCACTCAGTCTGAGGGGAGGCCAGCTTCCATGCTGTGAAAACACTCAAGCAGTCCCACAGAGCATTCAAGTGGCAGAGTACTGAGGTGCCCTGGCAACGGCAAGAAACTGAGGCCTTTGTCCAAAGCCATTAAGTGAGCCATAATGGAAGCAGGTGCTCCGGCCCCTGGTGGTCTTGAGATGACAGCAGCCCCAGTGTCTTGACTGCAACCTCAAGAAAGACCTTGAGCCAAAGCCATCCAGGTAAGCCACACCTGTATTCCTGACCTACAGAAACTGTTAGCTAATTCGCTTGCTTTAAGTGAATACGATTTTGGATAATTTGTTATAGAGCAACATATAGCCAAAACATTTCATGTGGCCAATTTCATTCTCTCTGTAATGACACACGAACCTATAGTCCCTGGAGTACACAGCAACCCGTTTAATTTTGTACCTATAGTCCCTGCAGTACACAGCAACCTGCTTAATACCCAGCACTTGTTTGCTTACATTTTAGTTTCTTGGTTCTGTTTTCAAAGATCTTGCTATACCAACATCTCTTTAACAGTTGAACCAATAATAAAGAAAAGTATGAAAGCTTCCAGATTTTTTTTTTGGATTCAATTAAGTCAAAAAAGACTTAACATCTTTGCCAATTGAAGCAGACCTCTTGTGCAGATAAGCATATCAGACACCTAAGTGGCTTCTGGCAAGAATTTCTAGAAAAGGAGTGATTGAAATTAATACTTCTCTGAGCCTCACTTCCTAAAAATGCTGCTAGTAAATAGAAAACAACAATAATAATCAACCCTTTTATCTCCCCTACTATTCCATATAGGCCATAAAAGGAGAAGGACTTGAGGCTAGTTACGAAATAACAGCCTAAAGCTGATAAAGAAGGGCAAGCTCAGAACTGAAGACAATGCATTGTACAGGAAAATAAGAAATAAATAGCCATGTATAGGCAACATTATCAGTGATTGCCTTACAAAGTGACAGGGGCTAACGTAGGTACTTATAACTGGTGCTTTGCTAGATTTATACACCAACTAAATTCTAAACCTATTTTCTGCCAGATGGAGTTAGGTTGTGGGGTGATGAGTGTTCAGTGATCAAACAATTCCTTCTACCTCATCTCCACCTAGAGACCAGTTATTACTTTTTTTTTTTTTTTTTTCCTTTCTTGAGACAGAATTTCGCTCTTATTGTCCAGGTTGGAGTGCAATGATATGATCTCAGCTCATTGCAACCTCCGCCTCTTGGGTTCAAGTGATTTTCATGCCTCAGCCTCCCAAGTAGCTGGGATTACAGGTGCCCGCCACCACACCTGGCTAATTTTTTGTATTTTTAGTAGAGACAGGGTTTCACCATGTTGCCCAGTCTGGTCTTGAATTCTTGACCTCAGGTAATCCACCCACCTCAGCCTCCCAAAGTGCTGGGATTACAGGTGTGAGTCACGGCACTCAACCTAATTGATTACTTTTGAATGCCTTATTAGGAGCTAGAAAGGTTCTTCCTGCAAACATCTCCTCTAGTTGAAAAATAATACCATTTCGAATTTTATCTCAACAAACAGTCACTAGAAGGCAGGTGTGTTCCAAAAAGATCTATTCGGATGATAGTAAGTGAAAATTGGTTTCTTTTGATGGAAGATCAAAATGTATCATTTAAGAACAGTTTATTTCTTCAGAGAATTTATCTTAACACATCACCTCATAAAACTGTTATGAGTATAAATTAGTATATGTAGTTTATGAAACATACTGTCTTTTGTGGGAGTAAATCATGAAGCAGCTTTATTTTCTCATACTACTACTGTCTTTCAACAGTGCCAGTTAAATCCCCCTCTCCTGTCCTTTAGCTGCACTTTAGTGTCAACTAAAAGTGAAACAATAGCGGATTAAATGCTTATTCATCATTCTTCCTGGACCCTACTTATCACTGATGATTTCCTTTGTTGCTGTTAATACTGACACCAGTGTATTCCTGGTCACTTTTGGGTTTTATTTTCATGGAGTAAAAATTTCAGTTTTATTTTAACTATTAAAATGTTGAGTCCAATCTGTAAATGTTGAAACTTGAAATGCTCATTCAATTGAAAAGTTCTTGCTTCCCCACCTCAGCCCGGTTTTGACACATGCCTGGAAACCTGTTACTGGGAAGATAAGGGCAGGGTTGGTTCATTTGCTTCCTGCTATGCTCCAAATGTTTCTGTTCCCCGCCCCAAATTCATACGTCAAAATCCTCACCCTCAAGGTGATGGTATTAGGAAGTGGGGCCTTTGCAGGGTGATTTGGTCATAAGGGTGGAGCCCACGTAGGTGGTTGTGAATGGGGTTGGTACCTTTAATGAAGAGGCCTGAGAGAAACCCCCTTGCCTCTTCTACCATATGATGATGCAGTGAGATGGCGCCATCTATGATGGGATTAGGTTGTGGACCCTTACCTGACACTGAATCTGCAGATGTCTTGATCTTGGATTTCCCAGCCTCCAGAATAGTGAGAGATAGATTTCTGTTGTGTATAAGCCACCCAGTGTATTCTGTGATAGCAGTTTGAACAGACTGAGACACTTCCTTGTGTCTTCTTTGTGCTTTCTCCTCACTTTCTGGTTACCCTTTCTGGCCCCTCCAGGGTTAAGCCCAGAGGAGGGAGGATTGGCGGGAAAGGTCAGAGTCCTGATCAGAGCTGCTCCTGATGGCCGAGCAGGGAGAGAAGGCTACCATGGAGCAGGGCACCACCCACCAGTTGCAGGGAATGAGGGCTTCCTGGAGTGTTTTTCTAGAGTGTGCCCCATGGAAAATAGTTGAGTTTGAGTCATTTTAAGAGGACCCCACCTCTAGAGATCTGCCCAATGGGGCCAAAGTAATCCTAATGGGAAAGAGTTCTGTGGGATATTTTGTTGAGGAGAGATTCCATGGGGTTACTAAGAGGAGCAGTGCCAGGTACTAGTCACTAGTAAGTCCCCAGTAAGGGACCCACTCAGTTGCTCCACAAAATAAGAGTCAGCCTTTGGGTATATGCTATCCCCAGACACCTCCTGGGTTCAAGCAATTCTCCTGCCTCAGCCTCCCGAGTAGCTGGGACTACGGGCGGCTGCCACCGTGCCCGGCTAATCTTTGTATTTTCAGTAGAGACGGGGTTTCCCCATGTGACATGTGACAACAACAGCTGACATCAGCACATGTTGGGTGAAGTTTTATCTGCTCCCTCCCTGCCCTTTTTTTCCAACCAGTTAGAAGCAAGTGGTAATGGAGAAGGAGACAACGTAAAAAAAAATTATAGAACTTCAACTATTGCCTGTCGCAGGTTTCTTCAGACTGACTAAGGGTTGGGATTCAGAAGGAGGGGAAGCTTCAAGTTGAGCGTTCTAAACTGTACTGGACTTTTGAATATGTCAAAATGAGGGTGTTGGTTAATATCTCAAGGTGACTTGCAAAATATAATCTGCCTGACATATTGCCCAGGTATGTGATGGGACTGTGCAACTGAAAGTCATGGGCAGGAGAAAAATAAAATTGTTTTACCTGCTTATACCTTCTGAGTCTGGACTATTTTTTATTAAAAAATCAACTGACTGGACCCACCAAAAAAATCCATAAAAGTCAAAACATCTAGTGCCTAGCACATAGTAAGTGTTCAGTAAACATTATGTGTTATTATTGTCATCTTCAATATTATTACCACACCTAATTCTTTTATGCTCAGACCCTTTGGTAGAAAATGTCATGGAACAAGCAGGATGAGAGATTCATAGAGGCTATTTTGCATAGCTGTTAAGAGGTACTCTATTAGGGTATGGATAAGTACCTGGTAATTCCCATTTTCTGTTTAATAAAAGATATTCAACTAATATTTGATGGTTTTAGTACTAATTTCCTCTTGGCTAAGCTGAAATAATGATGGAGAATGAGGTGGTTCAGGTATACTAAATCAAATGCTGGAGGGATAGGGGAGACAGAGAGGAGAAACGGCCCATTGGAGAGGCTGCCCTACTTTCAAGCTTCATGAGATGATTGTAATGTAGAAATAGAGAAGGGAAGTGGTCAGAATGAACTTTCTCACCCTCTGGGGATCCTAGAAAAGTGGTAGAATTCAGCCCAAATAAGTTTATTGCTGCCTTTATGAGGCAACACTTGTTCTAACCTGGATGTGACTCCTGTAAAATTTTTTTCCAACAAAAAATGAAACAATAGCAGATTAAATCCTTATTCATCATTCTTCCTGGATGTTACTTATCACTGATTATTTCTTTTGTTTTTGGTTTTGCTAATACAATTTTTATTTTAGAATAGTTTTAGATTTACAGAATTATTGTGAAGATAGTAGAGCTCCTATGTCCTCACGTCCCGTTTCCCCTACTCTTAACATGTTAACATTAGTGTGGTACATTTGTTACAATTAATGAGCCAATATTGATATGCTTTCATTAACTAAAGCCCATGCCTTCATTTATATTTCATCGTTTTTGTCTCTGATGTCCATTTTCAGTTCTCGGATCACATCCAGTACAACGCAGTACATCTAGCAGTCCTGTCTCCTTTGGTTTCTATTGGTTGTGACAGTTTCTTAGACTTTCTTTGTTTTTGATGACCTTGATAGCTTTGAGGATTGAAATACTGGTCAGCTATTTTGTAGAATGTCCCTTCCTCTTACGTTTTTCTGATGATAGACAGGGATTATGGGTTTTTTGGGGGAAGACCACAGAAGCAAAGTGACATTCTCATCACAGCATATCAAGGGTATGTATTGTTAACATGGCTCATTGCCATCGATGTTGACCTTGATCATCTAAGACTGTGTTTGTCAGGTTTCTCTACTGTCAAGTTACTCTTTTTTCTCCTTTTTCTATACTATTTTTAAATTTTCTTTTCTTTATTTTTTGATACAGGGTCCCACTGTGTCACCCCAGCTGGAGTGCAGTGGCATGATCACAGCTTACTGTAGCCCTGACCTCCCTGGGCTCAAGTGATCATCCTACTTCAGCCTGTCAAGTCACTGGGACTACATGCATGAGCCTCTATGCCCAGCTAACTTTTTGTAAAGATAGGAGTTTTTTGCTCTGTTGCCCAGGTTGGTCTTGAACTCTTAGGCTCAAGTGATCTGCTTCGGCCTCCCAAAGAGCTGGAATTATAGGCGTGAGCCACGTGCCAAAGTTAATTGCTTTCTTTTCTTTTCTTTTAAAATTTATGTCCATGTTTACACATTACTTTTTTTACAGTGTGCTCTCCAGAAGGAAGTCACTTTGTGCAGACCACACTT